AATGACATTTCCTCCAATACATCCAAAAAGCTGAAAAGCAGAAAATAATATCCAGGCTCCAGAGATAAGGCGAGCACCCAAGGGAAAAAGGACTCTGAAATATTCATGCAGCCGTAGATTGGATGGTGGAAATGGCCATTCCCAATGGCTGCGTTTAGGGACTGATGAATTTAGTTACTGTACCTTTATATTTATCGCTCAATAAACAAGACAAGCTCCTTTACGAGGCCGAGCAAGACTAATTTAGCTATTTTAGCGCTAAGGAAACGGCTTTCTGGGCAAGGCGAGGGGTTGGTAATTTTGCATGAAATTAGGAGACTTTTAATTTAGCCAAGGCAGCGAGCACTGGTGGGGTCTGAAGGTGCTGGGAATAACAGGGCTGGAGGTTAAGTGCTGAGGAATAAATCCCTCCTGGAGCAGTGGGGTTGGGGTGCTCACCCTGGATTTTGGGGAACCCCACACTGAGAGAGAGCAGACCCTTTCCAAGCTGCCTGCACTTGCTGATGAAGATGTTCCAGCTCTTGATTTTTAAGATGATATTTGGAGGCTTAGGTCATTGCTGTAAAGGTTTTACAGCAGCCATGCTGGAATCAAGCGTGGCTCTGTAAAAGTGTCAGCAAATGAAGCGATGATGCCCGAGTGGTATTAATGCCAAAATGACCTTTCTGATAGTTAGGGCTTTATGGGATATTATAAATTCTCCTGTGTTGGCAGGGTTATAACTAGGACATTAGCAGTAACATCTCTAGCGAAATCTGAGGCAGGAATGTGGTGTTTGGAGTGAAAACACCCAACTTAATTTTTTTTTAGTGTTTCTGTAGCTGAAGAGTTGATTTGAGACGTTTCCAGCAGAAATTTGAATGCGCGTGGTCAAAAGGAGATTGCTTCTACTAAAGACGAGTTTTGAGCACTCAAGTAGGGTTTTTTTGAAGGCTCTTAATATTTCCAACAACCCAAAATCAAAGTGATTTAAACGTATTGCTTGGGGTTTTTTATTTCCTTAGTTTCTAAGACTTCAGATTAATATTGTCAAACCTTTTTTTTATTGCCATGAAGGCAGGGAAAGTCCTTTTTAATGAAAGCCACAAGCTCTATACAATACCTTGACTCTGCAGCTGCTATCTGCAGTACCAGATTTCCCTGAACTTACACGAAAATCCCCTGAGTGAGCCCACTCTGATCTTTTTTTCACCTCTTGTGTTGCCACTGGGAAATAAAATCAGTTTTTATGCTGGTATTTATTATGAAGTATATATTTAGACAATCCATGCTGCAATTTAGCTCTTCCGAGAGCTTCGGGGATTTGTTTGAAGCAACTTTTCACTCACTGCTTTTTGAGCTGCTGGGCTCACTCTCACTCCTTCATTCCCCACAGCCTCTACTTTGCCTGTCCTTTGGCATCGAGGGCAGCAGGAGCAGCACACAGGACAGTGGCAGGAGGGTGGCTCGTGGCTCACAGCCCTTTTTGGGGCAAGGATGCAGCTTAGAATCCCAAAATGGTCTGGCTTGGAAGGGACCTTAATAATCATTCTCACCTTAATAATTGTTCTCACTTCCTGCCATGGGCAGGGACACCTTCCTCTATCCCAGGGTGCTCCAAGCCCCATCCAACCTGACCTTGGATATTTCAGGGATGGAGCAGCCACAGCTTCTCTGGGCAATTGTGTCAGGGCCTCCCCACCCTCACCTAGCGCTGCAGGCAATGGGAAAAGCAGCTGCAGCAATAGCTGAGCAAGAGCCAAGATTAATTGGAAATTGATTTGCACTTCTGAGCACAGGTGTCACACTGTGACCCTAGAGGTCTCATCTTACCCAGTTCCCAAAGAGCCCCCATGCTCCAGAAGGACTCTGCTGATGGCTTGGCTGGAGTTTATGAGCAAAGTATCAAAATAAAAAAACCCTCAGCTCTTAAATGCTAAATTTTGGAAGATGCTCTTTGAGAGGACCCAGATTCATCACCACTGAAGTGGTGATGCCCCAAGTTGCCCTGAACAATCCCCACACCACAGCCCTGCATATGACAAGAAAAACTCCACACAGGCTCATTTATTCTAGTTTTATTTTCCTTGTACAAGTAGCCACAGGCTAAAATCTAAACAGAGCAAACTACAAAAAACCTGGGTTTTATTATTATTTTTTTAATACAGAGCTAACAATCGTGGGATCAGTGGGATTTCAATATCACGACAGTTCAAAGTAAGAAAGGTAGAAAATAAACAGTAGAAAAGTGCTTTGCAATTTGGGTTTTTAGTATTACTGCTAACAGCTGACTCCCAAAAGGACTGGGACAAAGGTTTAGCATTGGTTTTATTATGATTTTCTTACAAACGTAAAGATATTGCAAGTTGAAATGATGGAAATAGGATCAAAGTACAAATCCCTCTTTGCTTTTTAAGTCAGACCCTGATGCAAAGCCCCGTGAAATCAGGCTTGTCCCCGACTCGCTGGGCTTCGCACCGGCTCCGTCCCTTCTTCCCACACGATGCCGAAGCCCAGGCTCTGCCCTTGGAGTGAGCCTGGAGCCTTTCCCTGATTCCCAGTGTTGCAGGGCTTTCAGTGCCATGGCCCTGTGCCAGCAGCGCTTTCTCCAGGTGGTGCTGGTGCTTCTCTCCTCCCCATCTCCCTGCCCACAGCTCCAGCCCAGGCACTTTCCTTTTCCTTTCCCTTTTTTTAATTTGGTGGGCGAGGGAAATAAATGAGCCGGCATCAAGTTGCTCGATGGGGTCTGTAACCTGCCTGCTCCGGCGCGCACGGGGACGGATGGATTTCCACACACTGTTTGCACAGATGAAGTGAGGAGCTCCCCCCCTTTGTTTTCATAAGCTTTTAATTTCCTTTTTTTTTAACCAATTTTCCCAGACTTAAGTGCTGTCAGAGGGGGCTCAGACACGGCACTGATCCCCCCTGAAATGCCATGGGATGGTTATCCCAGAGGAACACTCCCACAGGCAGCAAAACTCTTCCCTTCACTATCCAGAGGCAACAACACTTTGTAGCTTGTCTCTTCTTATTGCCAATTAAAAACCTACAGTCCCTTGGTATAATTTTGGGTGGAAGCTTTAAAATTCCCAAACTGGTCCAGCACTTAAATGTATCAGCCCCTTTACAAAACGAGGAAGAAGAAAGATAATGATAGACAAATAAATACCTGAATCCAACAGTGTGAAAATACCCTGTCACAGCATGAAACTATTCCCTGTTCAACTAAAGACAATGTGGATACTATCCCTGAGGAAGCAGCCGTCTCTGGTTAACTTGAGATCTTCAAGAATAGGTTGTGCCCATTATGGGTTACCAAAAATAAAATTTAAAAAAAAAATCAGCTTTTGGATATTTATTCCTTCCCATAATTTCATCTCACATAGCCAGAAAATAAGAGGGTTTTTGGGATCAGCTGACAAAAGGCAACAGGTTGAATTTAGTGTAATTATTTAAAAAATATTGTAGGATCAGATTCCTACCCCAAACACAGGCAGTCTCCAGCAGTTTGCACTGGATCCAACACCTGCCTGTCATCCAGTGGTTGTATCTCTGGGTAGAACTGATTCCTCCCAACAGGAAAAAGTTGGGAGGGAAAAAAAAAGGAATAAGAAACCTGGCAAGCTGTTCCTTAAATGTTGTGGTGTGTAAAGGAGTGTGAAGGGAGTGCTGCCCTTGGCTAGCAGGTGGGCTCTGATGGTGAAAGGCCCTGGGAACCACCCTGGGACTGTCTGGCTGCCTCAGCCTGACAGACATAGCAGTCTGCCACACACAGGGACCTGCTGTCCCACATGCACCCAAATACAATGTGTCTACCCGAGTACAACTGTGCGCTGAACACAGAATAAAATTCTGTCAGATTCCTTCAAAACCAGGGCAGCAGTTTGGATGAACGAAGGACGGACTGTCCCCCATGCTGAAACCAAACACAAGCTCTTGTTTTAATTCTTTTTTCCTCCTCATTTCACAGATTAAGGGCCAGACATTTGCTAGGTGATGTTTTTCCAAGTTTTGGGTTGGGACAGTTTTGCCTCCAGCCCCGTTCAAGCACTGCAGTACAGCGAGTGGGACTGTTTTGTGTCGCTTTTCCAGCTTAGTGGCAGCCAGAGGCACAAAGCCAATATGTAATTCTGAGTGGGTTTTTTGCCCAGTTTGGTGGACTTAGATAATTTAGGGAAGACCATGGATCCTCATGGATCACCAGACTTCAGCCTCATCCCTTCAGGGACTGAGCTGCCACAACTGTCTGTGTTTGGTCCCAATGGAATTGATAAGAGCAGAAAAGAAACCCCAAAAAAGAGGAAAAGCTAAACATCTAAAAAAAAGTCTTTAAAGATTTACATCCATCTTCAACCATCTCAAACCAACACAGAATCTGCATTGGTTTAAGCCACCATGTTTCTGCATAATTAAAAACAACAAAAGAAAAAACTCTATTCTTGACATACTATTGTATTCCAACTAGTCAAATGGCACAGAATTTCCCTTTAATAAAAGGAAGTAGTGACAAATACTTGTTACTATTACAATATCACAATAATATGATATTAAATTAATAGCATGTTCACAGCTCCAGGAAGTCTGAGCTGAACACTACTCTAGGTTCTGTGGTCACTTTGGCAACGGTACTTATTCAATGTGAACGGCGGCGTTACACACATGAAAAAAACAATAAAAAGAGAATCTGGGCTGGAGTGGGAGCGGGATGGCAGGAGAGGATCAGGTTGTCTTTGATACGAGGTTATAACTTGAGCTGTTTGGTGTCTTCTCCTCCCTCCTGCCTTGCCCTAACCCCGGCATCCCCTGGCTCCTGTGGTGGGTGGGCTGTGCCCTTGGTCTCACACAGCGCTGTCCCCCCACAGTCCCTCCCCAGGCTGTCTCCAGGTCCAGCATCACAGGTGTGACAGGGATCGTCTGACAGCCCATTTAGCCTCTTTGGTGGGGTGGGGAAAGGCTGTTTGGAGGTGTTAATGCCAAAATGCAACCCTTTGCATCTTTTCTGTTCTGCATGATGTCTACAGGAGGACGAATTTTAATGGAAGAGGGCTAGGAACACCGAGCCTGAACAGCTCCTTGCTCTTGAAGTTGGTGCCATTACATCTTCTTGGGCCAAGCTGGATGAGGACAGAGTCCTGCTCCCAGGTAACCCTGCCCAGCACCAGGACTCAGCTCAGGGAAGAGGCATTTGCTCAGCCTCCTGTATATTATACTATTTACACAGCCATTGGTTGCACCCCATTGCCAGTTGGGCAGGTGATGGGGGTGTTTTTGACACAAGGAACTCTCCCACTGGTACCATTTAAAAAAATACAATTCATACTTTTAAAAAATTTAAACTAATTTCCTTTCCTGATTCTGTTCACTGTCCTTGCGAATACAGCAAGGTTTGATTTACCACCACCTACACAAAGAGATCAAACCTTTGCATTTGCCTGGATTTAACCACTTCACACAGCAGAGAAAGGGCTGCCCTCTGGCACCAGCTGGCACGTGGTGTCCCTGTCCCCCGTGTGTGCCCCTATCTCACCCATGGGCGATGCCAGTCACACACTGACTCACAAGGCTGCACCATGCCAGGACAACCCAACCTCCACAGTGTCAGGTTGGTGGTTGATCTCTGGAGGGGACAAACCCTCTCTTTGGTGTCAGGAGCTCCTCTGCCCACCCTGGGCATGGGGAAGGGGCAGCTCTGGCAGCCCCCAGCATCCTCCTTGCCTTGCCCCTCCCAAGGAACTGAGCCGTTTTTGGCTCCACTCATCCTTTGGATGTTCTGTGGCTGGAATGGTGCCGGAGGAGCTGGGGGCAGCTCAGTAGCATCTCAAGTGCTCTATTGGGGAAGTGCTCTATTGGGGTTTCCCCACGGGTGCTCCTGATAGCAGGGTGGGCTTTGGGACAAGACAGTGATGTCCAGGTTCCCACCTCCCAAGGGTGTTCTGTGCTGCTTGTGCCAGCACGTGCTGCAGATCATCCTGCTGGGAATCAGCCTTGGGGAGCAGCACACTGATGCGGCACAAGGGTGCTCTAGCCCCAGCACTGGAATCTGCGTACCCCATCCCTTCAAACACAGGATGGACCAGTGCCCAAATCAGCCCTGGAAGGCAGTGGTGCCAGGGAGCCACAGGGCATCATGCTGCTTATCTGTGACAGTCCCAACAATCTTTAAAGTAAAAAACCACAACACAAATCTCCGCCACACAAAATCACACTGGAGCCCCCAAAAGTAAAGCTCATAACACCAGTGAAGCATCGTGCTTCATGTGGGGCTGGGTGGGAGAGGCAGGAATTGAGGGAGAGGGGAGGACACACACACACACACACGCACCACACGAGTTTCTCTCACACTTGAGGTAGAACATTGCTTTCAAAGGTTTGGAAGTGCTTTACATGGGAACGACAACAAGAAAGCCACCAAGGCGGCAGGTACAGAGCGTGACTGCTGAGGTAGGACCATGCTTGTACTGACCAAGTGCTATGCTACTTGTTTGTTTGAACACGAAGGAAGACGAAGGTATTTCTGCTTCCCAGAAGACATTCATTCCGGTTGAGGTAGGTTCTGAGTTCACTCGGGTTGTCTGTCCAAGTCTTTCAGTAGCCCTCAGGCATCCTTTGACACACACACACTCTTTTTTTTTTTCCTTTTTTTTCATATTATTTAGAGTCAATCAGCAAAAAAAGTATCCTGAGAAATAGCAAAAGTGTACAAAATCATCAAATCCATGGAGAGACAGCCTTCCTAGGCTCAATTTTTGGAGTCAAGTTAGAAGGATTTTTCCAAATCCAGTCTTCTGGAAATAAAAAATAGATCCCAAAAAGTAGTCCTAAAGCTGCTGATCAAGAAAAAGTCTGGGATGCCAAGAGATGGGGGCTCCACTGTATCCCCAGTCTGTCAGAGACTGGAGAGTTTGCCAAACTCTGCCAAGGAGTCTGTTACATAGCAGCTGTGGGGAAAATCCATCGTGACCAGTCTCCAGACAGCCATCATCAGAAGAAACACATTGAGAGGCTCAAGAGAGGTCAGAAAGATAAACTTCACAGAGTTTCCAAAAGGCTGTATACATATATATATATATATATATATTTATATATATATATAAAAATAAAGCAAAACAAAAAAATAACAATCAGACCGTAGAAATCTTCAATTGACCTGAGATTGACAACTCGTAAAGACATCACCAGCCGTGGGTTTGGTTTCTGGTAACTCCTACAAGAGGCTTTGAGTCTTGGCAGTTTTATCCTTCATTGGCAGAGCCGTGGTTGGGAGCTGGAGCAGCAGGACTGCTGGCATGGGGGTTTTGTGGGAGGGGGTCTGGCTGCTCCTCAATGATGCTGAACTCATCCAGAGGGAGTGTGGAGATCTGGGTTTCATCATGGGGGGCTGACAGGCTGTGAGCCGACTGGAGAGAGAGAGAAGGGGACAATGCAGTGACAGTGACAGTGATAGCTCTCCAATGCACAGCCAGGTGTGCTCCCATGCTGCTGGACTTACCGTTATTCCCTTCTCCCGCTGCTCCTGGGATGGGGATGCTGGGAATAACCTCTCCAGCTCATTCATGTCCAGCTGCTTTCCGTTCAAGTCCCGGTCATCCCTGTCTCTCCGAGTGGCCCCGTTCAGGACAAGGCCCGTGGCACTGCGCTGGCTCCGGGGGATCTGAGGGGTTGACAGCTGCTCCTGCACATTTTTGCACATCAGCAGCCTGAAAAAAAAAGAGGTGGAGCCTGAGAGTGAGAGAGGTGGTTCATCCTCTGTTCCCTCCCCCAGGTTGGCATCTGCCTTCTCCCTGTGCTACATTTCTTCATCCTTCAATCCATCCTATAAAGTCCAACATTCCACTGGGGATGTAAGACTTAGATGGGCACACTCACAGTACCAGGGACCACCACCCCATGTGAGCAGTGGCACGAGCATCCCTACCTTCCTCGGTACCCAAACATAAGGAAGAGGATGCAGAATATGATGCACGTGATGCCGATGTGGATCCCAATGATGATGCCGGTTGTGGAGGTTTTATTGTTCTGCTCGTCCTTCATGCAGTCACAGGGAGGATTCAGCACTGCCAGGAAAAGGTGGATAGGTCAGTGGTGCTACTCTTCTATTGCTCCTCCAGCTTTTGGGGAGCCCAGAGCCAAAGTCAGAGCCTTGGGCAGTGCTGGGAGTTGTGTATGGGAAGAGTAGAACCATGTGGGAAGCAGTGGTTCACTGCCTGCCTATGCACCTCCCTTGCTCCCAGCACTGCAGGAAGGGACACACAGCAAGCACAGGACTGGAATATCTGTAGTGAACCATCCCCATTACCTGACACAATTAATGAAAAATACCCACTCTGATGTTAATTTTTGCAATACCCCATGCTAAAGTGGGAGGTAAGAGGCAGGCACCACACCAGAGCTGGCTGAAACCTGATGGAATAGACAGATGCCAGTGAGATTAGCATTTACTCCAGCACAGACAGAAGAGTAATAACTATCTCTTGAAGATATTCCCACTGGAGGCTTAAAAGTCTTCCAAGAGCAGCAGGATGTTTTTTACACATAGATGAATATGAAAGGTGTGATCAGTTAAGACATTCCCTCTAGAGGTTTCTCCTTTGCTGCCACATAATACAGAGCTCACACTCTGCAGCCATTTCCCTTTCCAAAGCCACATGTCCTTCCTTTTGACCAGTGAGGGACAAAATATCCAGGAGAGCTCCAGGACAGCAGAGATGCTCATTGCACCATATCTCACCTGAGGATGGCAGCTGGTACCTTATGCATTGGGGGTTGTTGGTGTTCATAGCCTCACCTCTGAGTCAAGCTTAGGGGACAAACCTGGCGTGTGCAAAACATTTGGTTTGTCTTCCCCCCATTGGTAAAAAAGCCATCCAGGTGCTCTTAGCTCTGCAGAATTTTGCCTTAATATTATCTGTGATGCTGAAAATAAATGAGTGGCTGAAGGTGAGATGAGGGTAATGCCACAGGGGGCGCGCAGGATGAGTTTGGCCTCACCACCTTCCTGCAGAGCTTTTCCCAAACCAGCAGTGAGAGCCAGGTCCCATCTCACCTGTCCTCTCCACAGTTTCCCTCAGGGACACGAAGCGGACAGTGGAGTTCCCATCCCCATGCTGGTTGTAGGCGAGGAGCTTGACTTCATACACCACCGATGCATCTGCCCAGGGGGACACAAGAGGGACAGTTCAGGTGTAACCATGAGCCTTATCTCCCCCAGTGATGCTTATCTGGGAAAGGAACATCTTACCAAAGACACACAAGATGCTGTGAACAAGTACCTGTTGCTGAGAGTGCACCCACAAAACCTGGGGCACAGCTGCAGCATTTAGGGATTGGGATACACACTTGCAGGAGCTCTCTCCTGCAAATCACGACAGGGTGGGGAGGGGACATGGATCAAGGTGTCACCATACTCACCCAGGTGGGTAATGTTGTAGGCTGTGATGTTGCTGGCCAGGAGCACTGGACCTGTGTACTGGGAGAGGTGGACTTTGCGGTAATACAGCTTGAAGCCTTCGTGCTGGCCCAGTTTGATGGAGGGCTCCCACGTTGCCTGCACGGTGGTGCTGTTAATGACTTTAATAAAGAGGGATGGCATGGCTGGGACTGAAACAAAGAGAGAAAGACAGTGGGTTGCAAGTGCTTTTTCAGTCTGTGTGATGAGAAATTCCCCAGCAGCCTTTCCCTGCAGTCACTGCTCCAAAGAATGTGCCAGCTGAGACTGAGAAAAATCTGAGCAGACCAGAATCTGGTTTAACAGCTTTGAACTTCTTCAGGGAGCTGCAGGAGTTTGCAAGGGCTCCCTCTGCTAAGATCAGCAAGCAGAAACTACTTTTACACCTTGGTTGCAATATGATGCTCAGTCTGGCCGGGTCAGGGCAGGAATGCAGCGACTTTGGCAATACATTCTCAAATTCCAATTTTTTGCCCTCCACCCTGAGGCGCAGACCTTTCAGAGTGATTAATGCCCCTGGCAGGAAGGAACCAGAAGCGATGGAGCTGGAGACATCCGTCTTAAAAGTGTTCTAGGTACCTGCACTGGCATGCAGAGAGCTTCCTCTCCCCATCAGCTTTAGGAGGGAGATTTGTGACTGTGCTGGGGACTCAGGAGAGAA